GGCAGTATTTTATTTTGGTTTTTTTATAAGACTTGGAGAACTCAGAATGTGTTTTTAAATGAAACTGGAGGGAGATGGGAAACAGAGCTGTGACTCCATGAGCAGTGCTGTAGGTGTACAAGCTGAAAACAGCCAAGAGTTCATACGCAGGCTGGGTTTTGTTTTCTTCACTATTGTGCATTTGAAAGGTAATGCATGCGTGATTAAAAAATAATTTGCATGATATTCAAGTAGAGAGAAAAGGTACTCAGTACCAAGTGTGTCTCCCTCCTACTTCAGTATACCTTGTGAGATGCAGCCTTTCATGTCTGTTCCTTTCAGAATAATCGCTGCCTTTACGGGTATAGAACTTACCCATTTGCACCTCCTTTTTTTTTTTTTTCACCTAATGGTGAAAATCATGGAACTGACTTTTTACCTGAGAATAGAGATCCTCATTGGTGTAAATGACACATTCACTGTTCACGTGGTGGAAGGCAGGATTTTGGCTGCTGGACAGTTAGTCTGGGCCACACCTACTATGGCCTCACCCCGCATGGTTCTAGGTGAGTGTTCTCTCTTTCCATCCTACTTCCACCACGCCTCAGTGGCCAACCTCAAAAGCGATGAGACAGCTACAAATATGCTTTGTCATTTTTCTGGTTTCCTTAGGAGATACACATTTAGGAGGAATCTTGTGCCTGGATAAGTTATCAGTAGATTCCAAGGGGGACTGGAAGGACAGCAGAATAAAATACAGAGAGGACAGTAGAACACAGACAGTAGAACAGTAGTCATGCCTTAGACCCACACTGCCCAGTGCCCACAGATCGAGAGCCATGGGTTCTTGTTCCACTGCAGAGTAGTCACCATAGAGAGTAGGAGGTGAGGGTTAGGGGTGTGGCTCGGTGGTAGACCACCATTTTCATAATAATTTTGTTTAGCCCAGTATATCCATAGCAGTGTCATTTCCACATATGGTCAGTATTTTTAAATTATTAAGATGTTTCACATTCTTTTTCTCATTCTAATCTTTGAAAGTCGAGCTGTGCTTTGCTCTTCCAGTGCCTCTCAAGCTCAGCAGAGATGGCCCAGCCAGAGGCAGGGGGGTCAGTGGGCATCTGTGGGAAGCAGCTGCCATACTGGACCTCACCTCTGTGGATCATCCAGCTGCAGCTGGCCCGTACTTCAATTCTCCAGGCCTCTGTTTCTCTTTTTTGAAAGAGGGAACCAGACTGGAGATCTCAAAAACTCCTCTTCATCCTGGTTTTCGTCTGATTTTCACTGATAGGAATGGCAAGCCATAACAAACCAGGACCCACAAGTATCCCAAGAGCAGCATACCCTGCCTCATCTGTAAAATGGGCATCACTAAATATGAGCCCGATGCATGTGTGGGTGACAGTGTGGTGACAGATGAGTTTGTGCTTTGGGGAGAAGGAGGAAGGAGAGGCATAGTGCTGTGGGATCATCGTTAGGATTATGATTGACAATGGAGAACGTTCAGAATCCACGCTGAGCCCCAGGGCTGTATACATCCTCATTTAACATCTCTTAACCTCATCCACCTTATCTGCCTGCAAGATAGGGATAAAAATGGCACTGTATTCGTACAGTGACTCTAAGAACTAAAAAAGACACCCATGCAGAGGGCTTGGCACCGGGCTGAGTGCAGTCAGTCCTCAACCGCTCAGAAATGCTGACATTCCCAGCCCTCTGCTTGCAGAAATGAGGCGCTGGCAGGGAGTGGCACACCCAAGGTCACACAGCAAGGAGGTGGCCTCGGCTGCTGGCCTATCTTGGCTCCTTCCTTCTCGCTGGCAGTCCTCCCCGATAGCGACTAATTTCCTCACAGCAAGGTAAATGAAATAAATATACCCGAAACCGCTCGAGTACTGGAAGGAGGCGCAGGTCCAAGTATTGTTTCCATGGTATGTACTTTGGCATGCATGCTCATGCGACTTGCTTCAAATCCCAGCTCCAAAGGGCGGAGGCTGGGACGGCAGGCTGTTCTGCCAGCTTCCGTCTCCCTGTGGACTCACCCAGCGCCGTGACCAGGGCGCGGTTCCTCGGTGTGATTTCCAGGGACGGGTCCCTTTCTGGATGATGCAGAATGTCCGTTTGGTGGGACAGTGGCAAAGCAGAAAGTGCACCGAATCAAAACCCAGGAAGCCCAAATCGTGCCGTGTTACATAACAATAACAAGCAACCACGTTTCTGCGCATTTACTCTGTGATGTTAAGTTCTCTGCTTTCGCTTATTTCTCTGACTCCTTTCAGCTCCTCAGAGAAATGGTTTTCGATGAATGACCCCATCTGACAGATAAGGAAACTGAGGTTCAGAGCAAATAAAGAACTCACCCGGAAACACACTGATAGAGGCAGGAAGGACCTTAAAACCTTCCTGGTGGCAGGAGGATGACCTGAGGAGACTCATGGAAACTGGGTATCTGTAAGCTGGGAGAAGTGAGTGTCGCTGCTACAGCTTAATTCAGGCATCTGTCAAATGGGACTAGGGGACCCTGACCCTGGTCAGGACAAGGAAAAAATAATGGTGGATGAGAATGTTGTTTGCAAAGGAGAAAGAGACAAGGTATTGTGGAGCTGTTCAGATTATGATTGACAATGGAAAGTGTTGAGAATCTATAGGTCACACTATTGTGTGTGTGTGTGTGTGTATGTGTGTGTGTGTGTGTGTGTGTGTATATCTCAGCAGTCATTTCCCTGGCTCTTCCTAAGGTCCAAGAGGGAAATCACACCCATTTCCCAAGCACCAGCCAAAAGCCCTGCCTCATTCTAGCAGGCAGGAAAGAGAGAGACACAGAAAGACAGAAACAGACAGAGAGAGAGAGAGAGACAGAGAGAGAGACAGAGAGAGAGAGAGAGAAAATAAAGGGTTCCAGAAATGTGGAGGGGGAGGCATTATACATTGTTTGCTTTGGTCCTGTTTTCTTTTCTCTTAAGCAAAAAACACCAAAGTCCAATCTCTATCCTTTGCTAAGGTCTGGCCCAAGCCAGCATCTGGAAGAAAAGAGCTTAGTGTCTTTGCATCCCCAAGAATCCATCTTCAGATCTCTTCTTCCATGAAAAATCAGAGCCCAGAGCCAACTTGGACACCTGAGAGAGCTCTAGACATCCCAGCTGTCTCCGGTCCCAACTAAGCAATGAGCAGCCTGGGCTCAGTCCGCAGAAGAACAGGGCTCAGGGAGAGTTCAGGAGTAAAGAGAAGTGGGTTGGTCCTCCCCAGTGAGCCAAGGCACAGTGGTCCTGGGGAGTTTTCCGTGCACTCCAGAGCCTCAGCAGCAAGCTAGTGAAAGACACTCAGCCGGCTGATACACAGGCCACACACAGCAGAGAAATGACACAGCGTGAGGGCGATGCATGAATACACAGAGAGAAACACACACACAGAGTGGCGCCAGATGGAGACTGCGGGCTGGGCCGGGCCCGGGGATTCGTTATTCCCGCACCCACACAGAGGGGCTGGTGCAGTTACGTAATGCAAGCTGCCAAGATGCTAACCACCCTCCCTTGAGGGAATCTAGGAGGCTGCACCTCCTTTCGGGGGCTGAGCGGGGTCTCCGCATCCACCTCCTGTTCTCAGAGGCAGGAGGAGCTTGTCAGCTGCCTCAGCCCGAGGGTGACCCCCGGGAAGTCACTGAAAGGGAAACGAAAGAGTGTCAGTCAGTCATGGCAGATGGGGGCTCCCTCCTTTGCTGGAGCTGGTGGGGGTGCTCACAGGAAGGGGTGTGAGACTGAGATGGAACTGAGACTTGGAGGGGGGGTAGAGAAAGAGAGGAGGGGGCTCTTTGACGTCCCCCACCTCCACTCCCAACCAGCTGTCCTGCCCCAGCCCAGATGCGCCAGACGCTACAGTGCCACCCATGTGCCCAGCTCCCTGTGCAAATACCTCTCCTGAGCCACTGCGGGTCTCTGACAGTGGGGTCCCTGTTGGCCTCAGGTATTTGGCCACACCCCATATCCCTGACCTGAAGTGAGAATTGACTACATTTTGGGAAGCAGAGAAAATAACTAGACTATAAATTTTACATAAGTAGTGTATAAGTTTCAAGGTTCGTGCTCAAGAGTGGAGCTGACTCAATTCCAAATCTTCCTTCTATCGTTCTCTGGATGACCTTGGACAAGGAACTGAACCTTCCCAAGCTCTGGTCTCCGCGTCTATTAAGGGGTTATTGTAAAGCTCAAAGGGGAGGAAAATATATAATAAGAGTGTAAGTGCTCGATAACTGTCTACTCTTTGCCACTTTTTATCCTTCAATCAATAAATAACCGCAGAGCACCTACTATGTGCCTATGCTAACCCTAAAGGTGCAAAGTTGACTCTTCCTAATGTTTGTCCATGAGGGTCTCGGGTAGTTTGTGGGGTACAAATGTCTTCCAAAGTTTGTAATGGACCCATCTCTTTGGTGTTAAGAATATTTATAATGTGGCTAAATCTATGTTTTTGAGCTTGAAACAAGCTAGTAAGGGTCACGAAGGCCAATTGACATCCCCCTCCATGGATCCATGAAAGGAGGCATCATTCTTATTCCAGGCGTTTGTGGTGGGAGTCCTGGAGGTGGCCGGGACGAGAAGCTCAAAGATCCACACCAGCTGAGCTCCTGAGCTATGAACAGAAAACGTTTGCTGTGGGCTATGTGACAAATTGGTGTGGTGACTTTTGCCATGGGGAAGAGATAAGAAAGGTCTTAGGATGTTAGCATTTGGTTTCTGGGGCTGACTGTCCATGGTTTCCCAGAGAGATGCTTGGGTCTCTGAGGGCTCTGATCATGGAGATGAAGCTAGGCAGTCTGCAGCTAGCTGGGAACGGTGTCCCCTCGAGGAAGAAAGATTTTGTTGCCAGGTTGGCTTTAAAACTCCAAGTGTCTATTGGTTCCACTCGTCAGCTGGCTGCGTTTGTGGTCTTAGTTTTGAAGGTGTTGCTGGGTATACACTACTTCAATCTCACTCTCTTTTTGTCCTTCTTTTCCTCCTCTCCCTCTGCCTTCTTTTCGGCTCCAGAAGCCCCGGATCTCATCCCTATGTAACAGCCTGGTGACCAGGATGCCCAGAGAATTGTCCACATCGATCATGCGGCACTGCTAGACACATCTACCAGACACTCCTCCTCCCCAGTCTGCCTGACCTGTTGCTTAGGGACACGCGACACGTCCCACCACTTCTCCTGACATCTGCCTGATCAACCATCACTTCCTAGAGGACGGAAGGGAGGCAGACGCATGAAATCATGCCACCAACGGCCAAATGGCAGTAAGCGGTGACGCTGAGTTGACGTCAAAGGCAGAAGACTGAAGCGTCTGCAGCCCCGGTCTCCCCTGTTCTTCTCCCAGCACAGCCTGAAGCCTGACTGCTCCTGTGAAATCATCTTGCCTAGATACGTTTTGAGGTCTTCAGACAGGACTTTAGGCAGAGACACCATGGAAGATCACGTGTTCGGTGTTCAGCAGATCCAACCCAATGTCATTTCTGTCCGCCTCTTCAAGCGCAAAGTCGGAGGCCTGGGATTCCTGGTAAAGGAGCGGGTCAGCAAGCCACCTGTGATCATCTCTGATCTGATTCGAGGAGGGGCCGCCGAGCAGAGTGGCCTCATCCAGGCCGGAGACATCATTCTTGCCGTCAATGGCCGGCCCTTGGTGGACTTGAGCTATGACAGTGCCCTAGAGGTGCTCAGGGGCATCGCCTCTGAGACCCATGTGGTCCTCATCCTGAGGGGCCCCGAGGGTTTCACGACGCACCTGGAGACCACCTTTACCGGGGATGGGACCCCCAAGACCATCCGAGTGACACAACCCCTGGGAGCCCCCACCAAAGCCGTCGATCTGTCCCACCAACTGTCGGCAGGCAAAGAGCAGCCACTGGCAGTGGATGGGGCAACGGGTCCTGGGAACGGGCCTCAGCATGCCCAAGACAATGTGAAGGAAGCCAGCTTGCTCTCCCACACCAACGGCCTGGCTCCTCGAGCCCCAGGCCAGGACTCTGCCAAGGAAAGTGCCAACGTTGGTCACCAGGGCAGCAGGGAGCACAACGAACTGCTCAGAGAGATAGAGCCTGTGCTGAGCCTCCTCACCAGTGGAGGCAACAGAGGGGCACCTGTCAAGGTAGAGATGAAAGACACCGGAGTCCAGGTGGACAGGTAAGCCCCGCAGGTGTGTGCGTGCCTGTGTATCCTTGCGTGCATGCGCACTGAGACTCTGCCGCCCGGCAACCCAGAAGCCTGCCGGCAAGCTTACACGCAAGCTTACATGCACCTTCCTCTGAAGTGTCCCATCACAGGAGGCAAACAGACACAAAGTTGAGGAGGTACTAGGTCTTCCCACGGAGCTAATTAATGATCATGGAATGGGGCATTGTGTCTCCATCTTAATCCTACATAACTTTCTGGTCCCCCAGAAGGTCCTAATGTTTGTAATCCACATTTCAAGTGTGATGAGACAGAGGCTGGGGCAGGAGTAGGAGCGTTCTGAGGTCACCCTGAGGATGAGAGGCACAGGTGCACACGGGGGTGTGGCTCATGCCAAGGCTTAGGGAAGAGGGGGGAGGAGCTGAGCTCCGGGCTGCACACTCACCCTCTACTGGCTTTCTCTCCACATCTCGTTGAGGGAAAGGAACGCTCCCAAGGAAGGGAGACCAGTCAAAATACAGCATTGGCCCTGACCCCTCAAAGTCCCAGTCTTGCTGGGATGACATGGGAGCCGAGGCTCTAACCTAAAGAGCTGGCTGCTGGCCCCTCGGTGTTTGCCCCATTGGCACTTTCTGGTTCTCGGTGGGAACTGGCAGCTGGGCCAGGTGGTCAGTGAATGGTGGGGTCAGGAGATGTGAGGGGGAAGTTCCTCTCTAGCCCATCCTCTCTTGGCGTGGGTCAGGCAGTGGCCCTCCAGCTCCCCATGATGCCAAGCTGGGTCTGTGCATACCCACAAGCTCCCTGGGGACAAGCTGAGTGTCCTTGGCATCTTGAGAGTCAGGAGGGCATGATGGGACCCTCTGGGTGGAGCTGGTGCTGGGGGGATCTATGTGGCCCTGAATGCCCATTTCCAGATCTGCAGCCAGGATCAGTCTCCAGGGTCGTCTTACTGACAAAAATTAGAGTCCTCATTCACCTATGACTAACTGAGCCCTCCTGGGCCAGAACCCCATTCCCAGGGGAGCTGCCGCTTCTTGGAGTTCCAGAGCAGTGCCCTCAGAAGAAACAACCTGCCCAAGCCTTGCCTAGCCCTAGCGCCCACCAGGCTTCCAGAGTCTCAGCCGGCAGACATCAATGCTAAAGCAGCTGCCGGATCCAGAGCTGGCTGCCGTGGCCTTATCTGCCAAGAGGCATTGGAAAAAGGCCCCAAAGACTGCCCTGGGCATGACTTCTGCCTCCCAGTCCTCTTCCACCCTCCCTGTCTCCTCACCACCTCTACCTAGAAGTTCAGAGGACACCGAATGGGGCGCTGCCCCTCCCCACAGCACCTGACCTCTAACTGCATCCAACAGCGGTAGAAAGATCTGCTTTGGAGCAGGTGAGGAAGTTGCCCAGGGAAGTCCAGGACACTGGGAAGCCACTCAGCTGAGCAGTTCCAAGAATGAATGACATTTGATAATAAATAGCACTTACTCCCCTAGCTCAGTGGTTTGTACCTGTGTTGGAATCAAAGCCCCTCTCCACGTTAACAAACACTTTTAGATGCCTCCTGTACTAACCAGAAACCAATTTGGGAATAATATCACCTACGCACACAGGCTACTTTTTCATCCATTTAATGTCTTAACTGTAACTTAAAGAGGCAGAGCACACCTAAAGCCTAAGGACTGGCCCCACCATTGAACTTCAGCACTGTGACCCACCTCCCGCAGCAGGGTCAGCTGTTTGCACCTAAACATAGAATTGCTGCAGGACTAGAGAGCATCGCAGCAGAAAGACACAGGTGTGTTGTTTTGGCAACTCAAATGCCACCAGCAGTGTCGCCTTGGCGACGAGATTTTCCGAAATGGTGAACAGCTCTTGATGAAACAATGGGTCCATCAGTCTTTCCTTGGTTTACCTGCTTCTGGAGTGGTGGGCTTGGAAAATTCAGCACGGGTTAAAGACAGAGCGGGAGCCGGAAGGCCGCTTGGACAAGACGCTTTTTACTTCTGCGGGTTTGTCCCTGCTTTGCAGCACACCTTCCACCTTGCTGTCGCCTCCTCGCTCTGCCCCAGGATCACCCACCCGCACTGTAACCCCAAGCGCCCCCACCAATTGCCAGGCTGCTTCCTAGGGGCTGCAGTGGGGACTTAAATCAAAAAGTCAGTGTCCCAAATCAGGAATTGGGAACCCAAAGAACCAATGTCCTTTGAGTAGGTGGCTTTTGGGTCAGGCAGGCGTGGGAAATCCTCATCCCCCCAGCGACCTCTCCGTCCAGGCTTTGTCTGGGGTGAAGGTCAGCACAGGCACCCCAGATGCTGGAAGAACAGCCCCTAGCCTGAGTCCCCAGCTGCCCCGAGTAACGCCAAGGCTCCCTCAGCCCAGAGCCCACGTCCAGGTACCCCTGACAACCTCATCTCTCCTGCTCCACTGCCCTCTTTGCTTCCTGGAAACAGCCTCCGCCTCCTACTCCATCTCTCTCTGTGCTCGAGGGAGGAGGGGGGCACTTGTTTTGCGGGAGAAGCGATGGTTACACTAGAAACAGTCCCACCCCTCCGTCCCAGGAGGAAAGTATCCCCAGCGGGTGCAGAGGATGGGAGGCAGTAAATCTAGAGGCTTCTGGCACCTTGTGCACTTGGAGTAGGCACTTTAAAACACCACGTGTCATAGCGGAGCATATCCAGGTTGCTCAGCTTGCTGGCCTGAAGGAGGGTTCTAAGGAGGCCAAGGTCTCCAGTGCAGCCTCCATCTGGACAGCAGGTCAGCCTCGCCCTGCATTCTAATAATCACTACACACATGCACGCGCACACACGCATGCGCACGTATGCACACACCTGCAGAGGACTCAGTTACAGACTTCTTTGAGGGTCCTGCAGATTCCTTGCCGTAAGTAGGACATGTGGTTTCTGCCCATTTTCCAAAATGAGAGAAGTAGGGTTCAGAGAGCTGAAGCCACTTACCCAGGGTCACACAAGCGCTCGTCCCAGGGTGCTATCCTTGTACCTAAAAGCCTCACAAAATATGTCTAGAGTAAAGGACAAGCAGGCAACAGAATGTGGCTAGAAGAATGGAAGTGAGTTTCAGCCCTAAACAATCAGCTTGATTATGAGAGACAGGGAAGGGGGCTCCTTCTGAGGGGAGCCTGTTTTATAATGATTATTGCATCAACCTCTAAGCACTAAGCACTCTGAGGAAGCCTGACTTCATGCCAAAGTCTTTATGTCACTTAATTTTCTCTTCCCAGTGCCCCACTTGTCTGATGCAAAAACCAAGGCTCAGAGAGGTGCAGTCATTTGTCCCAGGTCACACAGCTAGCAAGCAACCAGTGCCTCGGGGCCAGGACTTGACCCCTGTGCTCTTGCCCTTGCTGACTTGGACAGTTGGCTACAGGGTATGTGGCTACTGGCCTCCAATATCCTTATGATAGTGGAATATTTTCTGAGTCTGAAAGGAAAACTGAGGCCCTGGGAAACATAGTACCCTGGCTTGCCTAAATAAGGCAGGTTGAGGACAAGAAGGAGGGGACACAGAAGGGCCTGCGCTTGTTCATTCCATCCGGATCCTTAGACAAACCCAGCATCCGGGTCCTCTCCAGCTCTTCAGTTCAGCCATGGATGGAAGTTATTTGGGGAGAGAAATTCAAGGGAACAGGGCCATCATCAAGAAGTCCATCCTTCATCTAGAGTTGCTTCCCACCTGCAGCTTGCACCATCTGAGCCCTACCCCAACCCCGTGCCATCCTCTCTGGACTGGAGAGGATGGAACCCAGGGTCTGCAAACTGAGCTCCATCCCTGGCCCTTTCTCATCTTTATTTTGAGACAAGGCCTTGCCAAGATGCTGAGTGGCCCAGGCTGGGCTCCTACTTGCGCTCTCCCTGCCTCTACCTTTTCTTTTTTTTTTTTTTTTTCATCTCTGAATCCATAGCACTGAGTTCATAGCTTGATCAAAGATCAACCCTAAGGCAGGAATGAGGGAAGGAGGGCTAGGCGAAGGGGGAAGCAAGGTTCTCCTCTGGCGGGGCAGGAAGCTGGCTCTGAGTTTGCTCAGCAGGCCCAGGGCCAGTTAGAATGCTGTCCATCACACTGCCCTCAGAACGACACCAGCAGCATCAATTCCAGGACTGCGATCCCGAGGGCCTCATAGCTTGAATCACTCTGCTGCAGCATTTTTCAGCCACGGAACGGAATCCAATTACTCAGCCTCCACCTTGATGCTCAGCGCGACCTTTCCTTCTCACCTTGGCCGTGCAGACGTGAGTGGCTTCCCCGTCCGCTCCTCCCCAGGCATCCTTCCTGCACTGCACCCTTTCCATCTGTGTCCCTGCAGGTTTGGCAGGTGAGCACCTGGCCCTGCATTCTAAGGACAGCAATGGAATCTGCAGGCTCACTACAAAAGGCACATTACCAGGTGTGATGGTGCATGCCTGTGATCACAGCTACTGGGGAGGCTGAAACAGGAGGACTGCAAGTTCAAAATCAGCCTGGGCAACTTAGTGACTTAGCAAGACTCTGTCAAAATAAAATAGCAAAAGGGCTGGGGGTGCAGCTCAGTGGTAGGGTGCTTGCCTCGCATGCACAAAGCCCTGGGTTTGATCCTCAGTACCAAAAATGTAAAAATGCACACAATCAGACAGCTACTCACTATCTTCCAGACAGCAAGTATTTCCCGAGTGTCGTTCTGCCGCTGGTGGTGTTCTCAGCCTCCTGGGTTCAGTGATAGACTTCAGCCCTCACATCAGAGACAAGAAATGAAGAATCTCCAAATTCAGGCACTTGCCCTCATCTTAGCTCGTGAGTCGTGCTCTGCAGGAAATGGAAGAGTGTGAAGAGCAGTGGCTTGGGGATGCATAGGACTTCAGATATAGGGCTCGGGAAGGCCAGAAGGGCCTCAAAACTTCAAATCAAGAGAGGGCATTCTTGGCAAAAGCCCTGAGGAAGGAGTGGGGGTGTTCAGGGGACCCAAAGACCTTAGGGGCTGGAGGGAAGTGAGTCAGGAAGTGAGGTCAGCGATGGGTGGGTCCATCAGTCA